ACACTTAACCCCTTAACTTGTAAGTACCAAACAATGATTCAGAATCAGTTAATTACAGCTGTATGAAATTCTTACCTATATCATTGTGAAATGATTTGACGTAGGTAACATTGCTTATAGTATATTTGAATTTAACTGAGTACAGTTGATAACAGTAGAAATTTTAGCATAATTAAATGTACAACTATTTACAATAGTATAATTATATTATTGTTGGATAAATTATGCTTAAAACAATATTTTTTCATTTGAAATGTAGCTAGTTTATTAACACGACGATATTCATGAGTAGGTATTTTGTTTAAATCATTATAATTTAAACATAGTACCAATATATTATACCTAACAGTATCGAATGCTATAAATTATAAAAATATATTTTGTGTCATTATTAATGCTTTCTTTAATTATATTCAACATTGTGATTGTTCTTTTATATATATTATGAATAAAAATATCATTTGTCTTTTTTTCTTCATAGAAGTCCATGATAACGTTATAATTTATTGTTAAATCTTATTTGATCAGTATCCGCCATTTATTCGTGATCTTTTACAAAATTACGAATAAAAATAAATAGTAATAGTCCAATAAAATATTACGAGTATAATATTTTGTAAAATTAAACTCCGCAAAAGATTACATTTTAGAGAATTTTAAATTAGATTTCCCGGAATAACCGAATACATTAGATGGCAAAATAATAATGATGAAAAGAAACTCTAACCGTTAAGGCCTCAATATAATATAAAGAGCGATTGTTATGAGTTACGCAATAATCCAAGTTTACTTAAGTCCACAGTTCAGGGTAAGTTATTTATCACGAGCAAAATAAATGGCGATATGTCAGTGACAATATTAATGCATATTATAATATATTTTATTATTTCATAATTTAGTTATTATAATATTGTTGCCATTTCGAACGACGTGATCGCAACACACATGTCGTTCGAGGCACTCGTCTTAATTGAATCGTGCCTATTATCGTTTAACGTGTAGGCAATTAATAATATAATATAACATAATTATAGTGAGAACTTTGCCCAAGACGAATGCTTACGACACTGAAGTCGTAGATCCGACGTAAGTGGCATTCGTGAGCACCCGTCAGCTGCATTTCAGCTCCGATAGGTATACAGTAATGACAATAATCGTATTTATTTCGCCGTGCAACAGAATCGGCGGTGAATTATATTAAATGCGTTTCTCAAAATCTGGAATATCAGCGGGCTGGCGGAGGGGTACACTTGAAGTGGAAATAAACCTACCTGCAGGGACCTACCACCCGAGAGAAAAATTTGACGACCATCCATTCGCCGAGCGAAACGATCGATCAGACGTAGTTAGTGCCTTTGTACTATATATATGATACGCTTCGGAGATTTTGGATTTTCACGAATCCGCGAGGGTTATTCGGTCGCGAACTAAGATCAAAAGTATATATGTGGCCCGAACGCGATTCGTCTTCGTCTCAATAATATTATATTATTATAACGCTGCACGTTCCGGTTGATGTTTACTATACCTATAGGGTTTTATTATCATCGACGGTATTGTACATTATGCGGATAACTCAAGAGTTTTGGTACACGAAACGTCGCTTTAGTAATGCAATTAGGTCGATCGAGTGTTTGCGCTCCACTCGGCGGGCACTGTCTATATGGTCTTAATAATTATGGTAAAAATATTATGAAATACGTTTGTACGATATTTTTATGATGCTGCTTCTATCTATAACATTGTGAGCACAGTTAAACCACTATTATAGTCGTCGTCCCATAACTGTATTGTTGTGGCGCCGTACGACTGTTGTACTGAAACAACTATGTCGCCGAAACATACGTACCTACCTATAATATAATAATTTGTCACGAAAGTTTAACTTTTTCATTACTCCCGAATGCGTCTGAAACTAGATGCCAAATTAAATAATTGTGTGTATGTGTGTACAAAACTTCCAAGAGAACTGTAGTTTGGTTAAATGAACTGCGGCTATATTAGGGTCGAGGTTCTAAAACAAATATTAACCAATTACCTAACCTACGATTTTAAAAAAAAAAAGGAAAAAGATCTTTCTCTAGCTACATTTCTAATTAAAACCTTTGTATGACGTACCATTTGGTATACAAACAATAAAATGGCTTATCAAATAAGCCTACACCAAAAGTACCTTAAATAAACATTTATACTACACGAGTTCCTTGATTACATTTGCTTTAAAGTTATAAGACTTTTTACCTATACGTAATGGGTAAATTTTTAATTAGTTAAAAAAATCCCACAAAATAATTCATTTTCTTTGAAACGCCTTTCATCGGTATACTTATAGTATGCACATTGCACTTATATATTTAATAAAGAAAAACTGTTTAAAGCTAAATAATATTGTTATTGACATGCGACATCTGAAATGTATACAAATTTTTTTCAGAAAATATACATGTATATTTTTAGTACATTCTGCATATAGTTCATAATATGTCATGAACATAAATAAAAAAATTAATCAAATAAATAAATGAAATATAAAACAAGTCCAAAGTGGAAAGGGGGGGGGGGGTAGTCAAAGCCTTTTAGCTCCCTGGATCCGTGCCTGTTTATTACTAAGTCATCCGAGTAAGTTGGTATATAAACGAACGTTGTATAATGTACATAGAAATATTATATTTACTTAATGTTTTTTTTTTTTTTTTTTTTTTAAATTACGTATCATTAAAACTAGTACTTTTTCACACTCAAAATATTCATTATTTTAGATTATTTATTGGCTATGTTGTTAAACTGTTAAGTCGTAGACACTTAAATCTTACTCCACTGAAACTGGTATTAAATACAATTTGAAAAAAGTTCATATATTTCAGATACAGTCTTTTTATTATGATGTATCTTTGTTTAACAATTCAACAAACATAATATATAAAGCTATACATTATTTTAAGTTTTTAAGAGTGGATTTGTTTGAAGGAGAAATATCTCTTCACGATTTTTTAACAAACCACTAAGTAGGTGGAAACAAATAACTACCTACACTGTGTTGAACATACTTCCTGAAAATAAATATGGTTGCCCCGTTCAAGGCCGGATTAAGGGGGGGTCTAGCCGGGGCGGAAGCCCCGGGGCCCTTTCAAGTACCAAAATGAAAGGGGCCCAAATAATTTTAAGCTGATACACATTTTTCAGTGATTTTAAAGAATAGTTTTTTCTATATTTTAAAAACCATTTTTTTTTATCGACAAAAACAACTAAATAGTAAATACCTTTTTGTAGGAAAGGCGCATTTTACTGTTATTTAATAACTGTTAGTTAATATTTGTTGTAAATAAGTATAATGTTAATAAATTTAAAAGTTGGTATGAAAATTTGAAATTAAATTAATGAAATATGAAGTATTAACTCTGTGGAATGATGGCAGAAGCTGATATGTACATTTTGTTTATTTTTCAATTATATCATTTAAATAGTTTAGAAATCGTGTATTTCATTTTTTAAAAAAAATTTTCTTCTATCATACCTACTTAATATGATATGTCTCTATTATGTGTGTGGTGCCATTTATATTCAAAGACCAAAACTGGTAAGTCATTAGGTATTTGAAAATATATGTAGCGGCAAAACTAAGTTTGTAAAATGTACATATCAGCTTCTGCCGTCTTTACTTTTATTATATTACAATTAGTGAATAGTGGTTGTATACTTTATAGACATATAAATTACATATACTTACCTATTCATTTTATAATTTTATAATGCAATTGCCATTTGTGAAATAGTTAGAAAAATGTATCTTCCTGCGGGCGTAGCCAGTTTGTTTTAAAGCGTGCCTTGTCAAAAGGGCCCATATGAAATGTCATGCCCGGGGCCCAATAGGTTCTTAATCCGGCCTTGGCCCCGTTCAATAGCAAAAATTATATTAAAATCTCAAAAAAAGTTTAAAAACATGAGTATCAAAGTTCTAATTGTTATATTATTATTTTGTTTGTGTTATTCCGAATTCCACCCGTTAATTGTATGTACACCATGTCATTGTATACCTAATAATAATATATCGGTAATGTCCAAGTTGCGTGTGTTGATAAGTGTTACTTCGGTAGAATAGTTATAGGTAGGTACTTATCGATGTTCATAATAGGTATTTTTTTTCCACTAAAACATGATAAATAAAAAGTTTTTTTGCGTACAATAAAACCGAAATTGAAACGAACCACGACTACTATGATTATATAGTCACACAAATTTGGATAATATGCAATGGAAATAATTAACATCGAAGAACCAGACGGCGAAAAGGAATAATAATATAATATTGTCGTTGTGAATAATATAAATCGCATTGTGTGCGGAGTATCAATACGGACAATTAGTCTCCCGCGGGCTTTGCGCATAATATCGCATATTATAATTCGGGAAACACGATGCTGTGAAGCTCGAAATCAAAGACGGGTCACGTCACAATTATTATTTTGATTCGTCACCGCCGGCCCTGTATACTGCAGCGATGACTGTACGAGACGCAATATTGATATTTGTTTCGTGTCCTCTTCGTTTATTTGCGGTGCGTAGCGTCTTGCCGTCGTCGTACACATCAGGAATTTCCCATCCGTATAATTATAATAATAATCCCATTTTATAATATTTCCGATTATTCTTATGACAGAAATATTATAATATGTAATCTAGGTGTAAAATATAATAATATCGTACTTATGAAAATGCAGACTGATTTCAATATAACTATTATCGCGTCCGGTTTCATCGCCCTTGACATCAAATACATGTTTTTTTTTTTCAACTGAAATAATATTTTTTTTTTTTGTTCGTACAGGAGGATTGACGTCGCGAGTCGTACTATTGGACGTCAGTTGTAACGGAGGAGGCGGCGGCGGCGGCGCCCGCAGAACTGTGGACGCGATGTCCGTCGTGAGGGGCGACCGTTACTGTTAGCGTTGTCGCCGCCACCGTCGCCGTCGGCCGCCCGGGCAGCGGTGGTGACGGCGATCATGGTGCCGCCGTGGTGGCTGCTGGTGGCGTTCGTGTTCGGCGGCGTCAGCGCCGCGCTCACGTCCAGCCGGGTGGTGCGCACCAAGTACGGCGACGTGAGCGGCGTGATCGTGACGCCCGACAACCGGCGGCTGGACGCGGTCGAGGTGTTCCGTGGCGTGCCGTACGCCTCGCCACCGGTCGGCTCGCTTCGGTTCATGCCGCCGGTAACCGGTTCGCTGTGGTCGGGCGTCAAAGTGGCCGACCGGTTCGGGCCGGTGTGCCCGCAGCGGCTGCCCAACGTGTCCGACGAGACGGCCGCTCTGAAGACGATGGCCCGCGGCCGCATGCAGTACCTGCGCCGGCTGTTGCCCTACCTGCAAAACCAGAGCGAGGACTGTCTGTACTTGAACATCTACGCCCCAGCCCAAGGTAAGTGCATTGCTCCACCCCCCCCCCCCAAAAAAAAAATCAATCCCGAAATCGGTGGTCGTCTTCGTCGAGTTGGTGTTTGGCGGTCATTGGGCATAGCCGAGGCTCGCGCAAACCCATTTAAACGCATTCGGTGTGCAGGGTTTTTTTTTGTAGTCGAGTAGATCGTTGGACATTGGTTGCACCAACGTAGTGCTCCACAGACTTCGAGGGTCAGCCACGTCCAAAGGTTTCTTGAACGAAATTCGTATACTGCAAATGTAAAATGCATTTCGATAATGTTTCAACCGATTCCTCATTTCTTTCAATATCATATGAGTATCTGTCGGAGGAGTTATTCGGAAATTATTATAATAATATTCTCATTCGTCCTGTTCTCATTCGCCTGCTGTTTACTGAATCCTGTGCCAAAACTGACTTAACGAAGCAGGAATACTTAAGCCTCAAATAACCCGTATCTTGCTATAACATAGGTATCTAAACTTATGTGGTTCTATATAGTTTGGCTAGACAGTCGCAGTTTTTCATTGATTGGTCATATTTTCCGATACTGCTCAGAACCAACGTTGGTCATTACTCATAACTATTACTTTATTATAACTCCTACTGGTAGGAATAGTTTACTATAATATTATCACGATGTTCCGTTAACTCGGGATCGGACCAAAGCATCGACAGGCCTATAGACTTAATTTTAAATTTTAATAGATATAGAGTTAAGTATAATATGAAGTTGGGTATTGGAGTGTTCACGTGTCAAATAAAGTACTCTTCACTTTGTGCGAAGGACTATAATACAACTAAGACCATATAGCACCACCGCGTCTACAGGTCTACTATTTTAATTGTCGAGCAGGGGTTATGAGGGGCATTAAATGTTTTGTTTCTCATCGTGGAATTCGTCTGATAGGAAAACCGTAGCTAGGACGTCAAAAGTTCTAAATCGAATGGTGCATAATTCCGATGGCATTGCTCTTAGCAATCGAGTTATTTGTGTTCGTTTGAAGTAAGTTTCAACACACGAATTCACATACCTAATAATAATAATAATATGTATTATGCCTTGTAACTTATAATCACGTAAGTTCTCGATCTACTTATGTATAACATGGCGTACACATAATATTAAGGATACGCAATATTGTAATATTATAATTACTTAACATATGTTATATACTTTGATTAGTCACCCCGTTAGTCCGCTATTACCGCCTACCGGGTGCCGTTTTACGTGACGGATTTTGCGTTTTCGAGACGGCGATTACCTACACGGATTTGTGGAACTGCAACTATACGAATGTAGTGACAAAACACTCGGATATTGATCGTCAAGATTGGCCTGGCAGTCGACTGAAATTGCACACCATTACACTTTGCCAGATCCTATATTATACCTATTATTACAAACGATTTGCAGTCTTTTTTTTTTTTTCTTCCGGCATGGGCGTCTCCGACCCGGTAACCTGTTGTAGGTCTTGTCGCGATTCATTAATAATAATTATAATATGCGATTGTATTCCGGTCACCCGTCCATAGTTGTTGTAGTTTGGCGGAAGACTTATAAAACCGTTTGACGGTTCACCCTGTTTACAACCACTATCAAGTCCCGTCTCGCCGCCGTTCCGCACGGTATTATGATTATTATTATTATTATTATTATTATTATCCCGTGTCCCGGAAAACCGTACTTCCACTAATTAAGCCCCGACGTGTACGCGGTGTAATTATTTCGGGTAGATCACATTATAGTTTAGATTTTTAACGCCGATACGCAGTGAACTCGGTCGTATTAATAACGCACGCATTCCGGCGTTTCGACGATAACACAGGGGAGTTATGGTGGTGTTTTTTTTTTCACAACACGCCTGTTTTTCACCTCCACCCCCCACCCCCCCCACCGAGGACTAGGTGTGTTACGCGTGTGTGTGTGTATATAATATGTATATAGTGTTTGAACACTCGAAATTTTTCCCCAAACGCACGGCTGTTCGATTTTATCGTCTGCACGTCGAACGGCCATATTGTTCTTGCGTGATTTAGGCATTACAATTTACCAGAGTTTTATTCATGGAATAATAATAATAACACATAGAACACGAACCGTAAAACATGATTTAGAATAATTATATTCATTACACTGTTACAGTGTACGTATTATACAGACGGACTCGGTTTGTTCACGGGCAGTCGGCAATGAATAATAATAATGTCGAATCGGTCTTGGCATGATGAATATTATGTAGCATTTCGGGGTCGATGGACGAAAGCACAGTAATATTACAGTTGTTGTGCCATGCAACATTTACTTATCATAAATCCGATGATGTGGCTTTTGAGGCTATTACCGTTGTAGTAGTATGGTCCATCTCATAACGTATTCGAGACGAAAGACGGATGTGAGTGGAATAAAATTCTGATAATAATAAATAATAAGTAATACGTATACCACTTCAGTCATGCGCTCAACCGTAGTGTATAATATTATGGTCTTGTCTTCTTTTTTTTTTTGTTTTTGCTATAACCACGGCGGTCAGGTTAAACATTTATCGAACAGTATTTCGGTCGTGTGCAATAAAACAAACCAGAAATGCTATGGCCACAAAATAAACTAATTCATTTAAATTCCTTAAAGAATACATAATATTATATTATTATGATATTTAATACAGTGATTCATCAAAAATGTATATCAGTGTTATACATTTCAGCCTTAAAAAAAACTGTTATTTTTAAATGTACCTACATTTGGTTTTATGTAGTTACTCCAATTATGAAGTATACGTTAGTATAAAACAGTAATTGTTCATCACTCTAAGAAGGAAAAATTATATTTTTATCAATAAAAATCATTGTCAAAAAAAAAAACATTGCTTTAATACATTTTTCACATGGGAATTAAACAACCCAACGATATTGTTGTAGGTGCATTCAAAAAACACAGTCAATAATATTGACCACTGTATTATTATTATAAATAAATCGATGAACGATATTTTGTTGAACGCCTGAAATATGAAAGTATATTGTCAAATAATCGATTTAGGAAAGCGTATGCTTATTCATATTACGAACAAAATATGTCGTTAGTGTGCAGACTACAGATGTCTATAATATAATGCTACCTTTGTGATAAGCTTTTAAAAGTTTAGCATCGGACCAAACGCGCATAATATAATGTTATTATTGTTACTATAATTTACTGTCAAACGGTAATTTGCAATATGAAATCATATTACGTTTTTGTTCGCGATAAAGTACAGTGCATACTTACTTCTAATACTATTATTACAATGGATGTATTACGCAGTGCGCACGTTTTCCCTATTTTTATCTTTGACGTCTCTTTTCGTTTTATGCCGTCGTTTGCCCTCGCGATTTCTTCCCCTTATACATTTGATGAATTACATTCGATCGTTTAAAATGCAAATATTACATTCTACTCATGTAAACACCAGCTGATGTTTTATACAACTTGTGGTGATCAACTGACAGAATTTCGGTACTGTTTCTAAATTATATTATACGTATTATATATATATAAAGATACCCTTAAATATATGTATACCAGATGCGTCGCATTACGAACATGAAACGTGATCGCTATTTTATGGCTGGGTAATTTGCGGACTAAATTACTTCACAACAAAAAAAAAAGAACAGCGATCGTGTCTTGTGGATAGTCTTTGCTGTTCGTTGGATGAACAGTGGTTTAACAACAATAATATATTCTTCTATCGTCCACTTATAAATAATAGTAAAGTATCACAAAAATCAGTCGATTTAATTCACCTAAAATAGTCCGTCCTAGATCTTTGTGATCCTCGCTTTCATTTTTGTTCTCTTGAAAATAATAGGTATCGATTGAGTTATTCCATACCTATATATATTTTAGGGATGACCAAGCAATTTTATCGTTAAAATTACTATATACATAAAACTGAAACTGTAAAAATATTCTGTTTATCATAATATTGTATATTGATTTATATTGATATTATAAAATGTAGTGAAAAAATGTACGAAATTCGCTATAACCGATGCTTCACAAATTATGTTTTTACTGGCTCTTAGTGTTATTATCATGGCTCAGCAATTAAGTGATGGGAAAACTTTTTTTGGTTAATAACATATTGATAACACCCTAAGTAGTAAAACTTGGATAATATAATGATCTAGGTAGCGATAAATTTAGCAATTATATTTCAATTTTCAATTTCCTATGCCTTGCCAATTATTTTAAACTTAACGCGGCCTTTTCCTTCCTCCGAACGAAAGTACTAGTAACTTTTAGGCCAATGTAGATTAATTTTACTCCACCAACCTCACTTTATGGTGTAAACTCAGGAATTTCCTTAAACGAGCTAAGTTCGGTGGAGTCGTAAAGAACACAACAATAAATATTCTCTGGCAGTATAACTATTAACTTTTGTGAGAATTCGAGACATAGAAAAATTCAATGCACATCGATCTCTTAGTTTTGCAGTTTCAAAAGTATTGCAGGGTTAAATTACCAAAAGTGTAAATTTCTTGACAAAATCTTTTTCGTCCACCAGAAACTAGGTGATGTTTGCAAATCAAATGTTTATAATTTATTGTCTAAATTGTACTCGAGTCTATTACTCGTTGATCAATAATATTTAAATTTTTTTTCTTCAATTATTATTACTTACTAAACAAAATCTGTTAATTTAGTAGGTATATACCTATTCTTATAATATAATGTCATAAATTACTGAATACAATATTTCAATATTGTATTTCATTTAGTTGGTTATTATCAACAACAATATTATACTTGGTTCAGATTAAAATAATATGTTTGCATTTTTATCTATACATATTTTTATATTAGATGATTTCGGTACGACAAAAATGATTGCCATTAATTTTTTATATCGTATTAACATTTATCGAATGCAACGGCAACATACCGGTTAATGACAAAATATTATGATCGTTGCTCGGTGCATAGGTTGTATAATAATATAATCACTACAACTTCATGAATTGATGGGCATAGTTGTACAGCCCAGACTGATCAATACGAAATTGGCTCTCGTTAAAAAGCACCATTGGGAAATCATTCCAGAATGTCCTTTATAGGTCCGGGCCTGGAACAGTTTTTAATATTTAAAGTGCGTTTTTCCGAAGATCCGGCCGAGAC